GCATTAAAGTCAATGGCACCGCAGTGCGATTGCCTGCATTGGAACGCATGGCAAATCAATGCCTGCGTTCCGTTGCGGTCAGAAAAAATAGTGCATGCAAATGGACTTCCCCAAGGCACTATTGCATCCCTACTTAATAATATAATGTATTGCTGGGACTTGTAGTCCTGCATAATTGCTGCTATTCTGCATTGCTGTATAATCATTATACAGCAATGCAGAATACCACCAGCTATGCAGGACTACAAGTCCCAGCAATACATTCTAATGTAAATAATAACAATATAACAGCAGCTTCTTCCACCCTCCCCCCCTCCCCCACAACCACACAAACACACATTCCTACAGCTGCTCAGCTTCCTCATCTTTGGCGGCCAGGGGGCAGGGCTGAGTGGAGAGGGTCCTCACAACGCTTTACTATGCGCTACCAAACGCAGTTGAATTAATGTTATATTAAAAAGAAAGAAAACATCAAACACTGCAATTTCTACAGTGCACTGCAGCACTTGCGCATAATACATACCAGTGCATGTGCATTATGGTGTACACCAGGGCTGCCCATTAGGTCGATCGCGATCTACGCAATCACTGGTAGATCGCAATGTCCGGTCTTCTCTGGATCCCTGCTGCTCTCCCCCATCTGTATGCAGCGGGGATCCGAAGAAAAGTGAAGCTGCAGTCGGCGGGGGGCGGAGGACGGAGCCGCTATCACAGCAGCACGCCGAACATTGACTATCTCCTCACTTATGAATAAACACTTGAGTGATCATTCCATGCAGTAAAGTGAAGGATTGGTAAATATGACACATATTGACACATACCGATCCTCCGCGCACAATTCTGAATCAGCCTTTCATTGTGTTATCACCGCCTGCAGCTCACTCCTCCCCACTGAGCGTCCATTCCGTGTCCCCTCTGACCCTCTGACAGAGCAGCAGGGATCAGAGGGAACACAGGAGGGCTTGCAGGGGAGCAGAATGCGAGCATCTAGTGGGGATGATCAAGCAGCCGGTGGGGAAAGTCAGCTGCTGATGACAGCTACTCATTTACACAGAAGAGTCAGGGAGACTCTTCTGTTATAAAAGCTCATAGTCGCTGAAGCGACCATGAGCTTATAGCAGAAGGGTAAAGCATACTGACCTGGCCAGCTGAAAGCGATTCTGTTCCACTGTATGTCTTACGTCGGTAGCAGTGAAAAGGGGTAAATGAACTCTAGATTACCACTGATAAACATGTTAATGTTAGAAAACATACAGTACATTTTTCTACATTAATTAATGTTTCCTTTTTTTTTGTAGCTGTCTTTGAAGATAATTGTAAATGCAGATGAACTGGAGCAAAAGTGGAAAGGTCTTTGCTTACCGCAAGCACAGCTGCAAAATATTTTGGAACTGGATAGTTTTGGGAGAGAGGTGGAATGGCTAAAATTTTTGGTCCTTGCCTGTAGTACTCTCGGTGGCGTAAGTTGTCTTCAAGCTCCTATAGAGTTAAACTACAGTATATTCATGTAAAATGAGCATTGCTAGCTATTGGCCATATAAATATATAATCATATTTAGGATTCTGTTTTGTTTTGACTGTTGGCACACCTGGTAATATTTTTTTTTTCAATTCATTAGATTTTTCTATTTAAAAAAAATCAAACAAAGCTGAGCTGAGCAAGCCCACACAAAAGTTATATTTTGGTCATATTTTGGTCATAAGTGGAGCCTGGTAAAATGAGTCAGCCTGGCGGTGTTATCTACTACACTAGTGTGTTGGAGGTTGGATGCGCTGTCCCACCCTATCCTATTGAATGTGTAAATTTTATTTTCACTGGGGTATTTTGCCTCCAGTTTTGAGTATAACAAAGCAGAACATGCTCTAGCAGCGAGGTCCCACCACCAGCCAACACAATGGTCTTTCACCTGTATACTTCACCCAGCACACACAATCTTCAGTTTCTCATTCACAGTCTCTTTACTTAGCAGTCTTACACTCCCACCACACACACCGCATACTGAAAACTATCCTCACAGACATTGTTTACTAAGCCCAGAAACACAATCTGAAGCTTCAACCCTTGGAATGAAGAACCGTTTACTAACAGTCTCTTCCCTTCCCTTCAAAAGTGAGTTTCTCATTACCTTTAAGTAGGTGTGTGTGTGTGTGTGTGTGTGTGTGTGTGTGTGTAGTGCAGGATTGTGTGTATATGTGTAATAACCCTTTAGTGCCCAATGCATGCGCTTTAAACACTCAAAACCCAGCCTCCATTTCTTCAATGCACTACAGCAAAAATAATTCTTACCTCCTCAAACCCTGGTTTAATAGTAATCTGTGCTGCACTGCCCCATTTCCTGCTTAAACATTCCCCAGCAAACAGGCTCTGCCATTTCTCCCATGACCGCAGTGCCACCTCCACTGTTTCTGGACCTCATGACACAGTCCCTGCTAATAACCTGCTTCAACTTTGATGTCTTCTTTTCAACCTCCATTGTCCCACACTCTTCTACTGCACATATTGTTACCCATTATATCCTCTGCACTTTTGCTGCAGATACTGCCTGTTGCATACTCTTCATGCTCCTTCCCTGCACATACTGCTCTCCATTATATCCCCTGCACTTCTCTCCTGCATGTATTGCCCATTGTCATACTCTCTGCACTTTTCTGCGCATACTGCCTGCTGCCATATCCTCCATACTCTTCTTTACATACTTCTTGCTGTCAAACCTTCCACATTTCTCTGTTGCACATAATGCCCTCTGTCCTACCCTCTACTCTCCTCTCCCCTACCATACACACTACTCTTCAGCACACACTGCCTGCCATCATACCCTCTACACTTCACAATTTAAAGTGTAACTATGGGCATAAAAAATTTTTTACACACATGTTGCACTATAGGTCTATAGATTGAACTTGATGTACTTGTGTCTTTTTTCAACTTGGCTAACTATGTAACTATGTATGTGGTATAAAAAAAACAGCATTTGTTTTTTCGAGTTCCCCCTGTTGTAGTGTTGTATCGTTTCCCGGAATGGGGGTGTGAAAAATGATCACTGCAGATCATTGAGTTGCAAATGTTGCAATGGAAGCATTTATAGCTCCCTACCTTGCTTGACATGGAAATCTGCTTTTTAACATACTTGGGCCTGGGATCAGCTCGGATCAATAGTTTCCTGAGTGAGTTACCCTGTCTATGTACATGGAGGGGCCTGTTCTTTATACATTGTGTGAGGCTCCTATCTGCATGCAGAATGTTCAAATTGGATGCAGTGGCTTTGTGAATTACTCTGTTTGCTGTATCAAAAGTGAAAATGAATGGGAGTCTTTCCTCTATAGTCGGTACAGTCGGTGCTTCTACAAATTTGGTGTATGCTTTCTTTAGTGCTGTATCCAGGGGTACGGGTACTCCTAGAATGAGATCCTAATAGGTTGGACTTGATGGACTAATGTCTTTATTCAACCTCAAATACTATGTATCAATAACGGATTGTGGATACCCTCTTTGGGCAAATCGTTCCACCATCTGTTTTAATTGTAATGCACGGCCCTCATCATCAGAGCAAATTCTCATAACTCTGAGGAACTGGGGTATGGGCAGATTATTTTTAAGATGGTGAGGGTGGGCACTGTCATAGCGTAGGAGTGTGTTCCTATCTGTGGGCTTCGTATATACGGTTGTGCTAATAGTACCATCATCCAGTCTAATTAGAACATCAAGGAAATAAATTTCTACAGCAGAGAAAGCAGGGTTAAACACAATCCCAGGGAACAGGCCGTTTAAAAACTCAACAAAAAACAGAAAATTCATGTTCACTCCCTTTCCATATCAAGAAAATGTCATCAATGTATCGAATCCAGTCAATCACATGCTCTGAATATAATGTGGAGTTGTAGACAAAACATTCTTCCAGATGACCCATGAACAAGTTGGCAAAAGAGGGCGCTGCTGCGCTGCCCATTGCCGTACCCCGTATCTGCTTAAATGCTTTGTTCTCCAAGGTAAACAGGTTGTTAGATAACACAAAGTCAAGGCATTCCACAATAAACGCAATCGGAATGTCAAGTGTATCTTCTTTGCATAAGAAATACTCAACCGCAGTGAGGCCCGCCCTATTAGGGATACAAGTGTACAATGATGAGATATCCATTGTAGCCAGTTTGTGTTGTGTTCCAACTGTATTATGTGTACGTAGTCTCCTCAGAAAATCACCCGTATCTTTAATAAAAGCGGGGAGCTTACGGACTAGAGGTTGGAGGAAATAATCGACAAATTGTGCCAAGGGTTGAGTAATCGAGTCGGTGCCTGATACTATTGGGCGATATGTTATTGGATTGGTCCCTTTGTGGATTTTGGGTAGTCCGTATAAAACCGGTATGCGTGCATTTTCATTAATCAGAAAAGCAGCTACCTGTTTGTCAATCCAACCATGGTTCTGTCCTATTTTGACCAAGGATATCAATCCCTTTGTAATTGAACGCATTTTTTCATGCGTTGTGGGTTCATAGCTGGATACATCAGTCAGTAAGGTTTTGATGCCATTACTGTAATCCTTATAGTTCATTATTACAATGGCTCCACCTTTATCTGCGGGTTTAATTATGATTGTATTGTCTTTCTGTAGGGTTTCAAGGGCTTCCCGATCACACTTAGTCATGCTTGTGTATGATCGAGTACAGGACTTGTCCTGCTTTACATCAAATTGGACTGTTTGTGTGAATGTCTCAATATAGGAAAATTGACCGGTGGGGACAAAATTGCTTTTTGCCCTAAAGGGTAAACCACTGCGTACCGTAGGGGGAAGCATGTTGAAATGCTGTTTACGTTTCATTGTACGCTCATACTTAAACATGTCTATTTCAAACCCAAACGCATCAAAATATTTGGTGGGGCAGAAGGATAAGCCCTTAGCCAATAGACTGTACTCACCCTTGGTCAGTGGTCGGGATGATAAATTTATTACCGGATTTTCCTCGGTGGACGTCCCTTGTTGTGGTAGGATCTGGTTTCTACGCCTCGTCCTCTGGCCGCCCCTCCTGGATCTTCTGTGTCTGTGTGCAGGCCGGGCCGGAACTTTAACTTAATTGTCGGGAGCCGTGGCTCCTGATATTAATGCGCCGGCCGAAAGTGAGGAAATAGTCCCCTCTCTCCCCGGGCCATACCACTTTATCGGAGAGCCCGGGGGAGGCCGGGAGAGAGGGGACAGTTTGACATGAGGTTCCACAGGCTGAACCACAAATTCCCCCTCTCTATTCAGTCTCAGGCCGGTCTATTCAGACATGATGCCGCGACCCACTGCAGAGGGTGTCGCGACCCACTTTTGGGTCGCGACCCACGAGTTGAGAACCACTGCTCTATAGTACTCCGAAAGTGTCTGTCCATGTAATTCCAGGTCGATCTTCTTCTTCTTGAGACGTTTGATTTCTCTACTTAGATCAGTAGCTGTGTCTGTGCCAAACGCCTTATCAACATCTGTTGGAAAAAGAATCGCCTCCACTTCATCCGCTGTGAACGCAAGAACGCTTTGGGTTCCTGGATTGGTGTTACCGACTAGATCCATGAGCAATAAAAGAATGTTACAAATTGTAACTACGTGATCTGAGCAACAGATGTCAAAGGTAGATGATGGTGCTCAAAGGCACGGTGGGATAAAGATGAAATGGGGGTGCAACGCAAGATTCGCCAAACAAACTTCAAAAACAGAATGTCTTGCTGCACTCCTAACCAGAATAACCCCAAGCTGGGTGGGTGCTTGTAGTGACCACAGGAGGCACTGTGTGAATCACAGAATAAAGGAATAATGTCACCAGCACACCAGTTTTTGTTAGTCAATGATCCATTTTAATGGCACATTGCCATCCAATACACAAGCGCTTTCGGGGCCGCGGGGGGTCCCCTTCATCAGGCTCAGAATGACACTTCAATAACAGATACATCAACCTTATATAGGCATCAAACAGTGAGAATAAACAATAAACCACTCCCATACATAATGACATCACTGGATCCATTCCCGCCACAATAGATTAAAAATTCGAAAACCTCCACCAACCTTGAGCATTGCAGCTGTACCGGGCTCAGGGAGAACACCGAGCCGTTGATCGGCCGGAGCAGATGGTTGCCAAGGCAATAGGACGCAATTGCGGCCTGCCAGCACCGCCCATCTCTGGTGCGCATATCAGTGATAAGGAGCGTAGTGGAACTTCCGGCTTGCGTTCCATCGTGGTTACGCAACGGCCAGCGCATGCGCACAGTGAACGAGGGCCGAAGTGAAGGGTTACACTAACGTAAATACACCATACTGATTATGCAAACTCCGCCCCTTGGGTCAGGGATGGAACGCACCACACTAACAGCTTGCGCTTCAGCGATGTATAACAAGTGGGACTCGGGCTAAAATAAAGCCGTGATTCCATTGGTCGGCAAAAGTAATAGTTTTCTGAAAAACGGACGGGGGATAAAACCTAAAGATGT